AAATTTTAACTCAGATTAAAAAGTCACAGGTCTTCTTCATCAAACATGTGGCTAGCCTCCCACTGAGAAAAAAGAGCAAATAAATTTTAATTCAGATTAAAAAGTCACAAGTCTTCTTCATCAAACATGTGGCTAGCTTCCCACTGAGAAAAAAGGAGCAAATAAATTTTAACTCAGATTAAAAAGTCAGTTCATATCTTTTAGTAACAAATCATGTCTAATTTAGTTTCCTAACTCAAATAAAAACCCAACATGAAAGCTTTCAATATGTCACATGGTGTGGGTTTGTTCTTTTGGATAAAGTTGGTTGTTAATTACAAATCAAATCTAATTTGGTCTCTTAAATCAAATAGAAAAAAGCAACCTAAATTTACTGCATGGATAGTGGGTCCCAACAAAATTCATAGGTATAGTTACTCTGTACTACAGGGTGGTCATTAACTAGTAATTAGTGTGAAGAGATCCAATCCAGTTGATACATTTCCCCGCTATTTCTTTTTTCTCCCTAGTCCCCACATCCCCATCCTTTTATTTTCTGGTGAGCAAGTGGGTTAGCAATTTGGAAGTCCACAAACAAAGGATCCAGGTCTGTGGCACAAACCAGACCCTTCCACCTCAACAAACTGTCATCTTCATGAAAAGCAGTCTGAGTAAGATAGGTAGTTTGAGACAAATAACATGTTTGGGGGTTCCAAAAGGCAACCAAAGACCACTAGTGAAACATTAGTTTGAATCACACCTTATGATATTTTAAGTTGGAAACCTTTTCTTTTTCCTTTAAGGAAGCATAAAAAGATAACTTAGAAGCATAAATCAGAGGTTAAATTGTGAGGTTTTGCTGAATAATGGACTGAGTTTCTTTAATGCTCTGTTAGAATTTGATTTTGGGTGCCAGCCTGTGCATTCCAAGCTCCCCATATGTTCCATTTCAAGTGATTTATCTTCTCTGCTTCTTATGCTCCCTACGAGCCTGTGCATTCCAATCTCCCCATATGTTCCATTTCAAGTGAGTCATCTTCTCTGCTTCTCATGTTCCCTGAGCAGAGACCTTTGGTAATGACTGACCATATATAAACGCTAACCAAACACATAACAACCAAGGTTGCCTGATTTCAACATGTTTAAGGAGAACAACCAGGGACTATTATTTTCTAAAGTTTAGCTTAGCTTTATGCAAATAGTTACCTCAAATTTCTCATCTRATTARCCTTCACACTGAGCATAAGAATACCTTCAAAATCCAGAAGTAGGCTGAAGATGCAAATTTAACATGGAATTTATGTCTGAAAAAGTTACTGCAGTGCCCTCAGCTTAGAATGAAAAACTAAGAAAAATTAAGGAAAGATTTTTTCTTATTTCTTTTTTTTCCTCCAATTATGGATCTAAGTCAATCCTAGACAGGACCATTTACTACCAGTTGATACAAGATGTTTTTAGGCAGTTGTGTTACTTCAGAGTCTATTGTGTCTCTTAAAATCTCAGAAAGTACATGTTCTCCATTGTACTGGACAACATAATGCATTTAAGGTTCTGGAGCACAGCTCATTATTACAGATAGATCATTTACAACCAGTTGATCTGAGATATATTTGTGCTATTGTGATACACCAGTTCATTCCCTCTCTTATAATCCCATAAAATAGCTTTTCTTCTACCAAACAGGAATACAGCATATGCATTTAGGGTTCTAGAATAAAAATAGCTGATAACTGCAACTAGAGTTTTGAGTCTGCCTTTTTCTTATCCTGCTTTCTTTCTCTCATTAGCTTTCTATCATCACATATAGAATTCCAAGTATAGTTAAAGGTGTATTAGGGATCTAAGATATGTACAAGGAAATGTAGGAATTGATTATTTATATGGATAAACCTAGTAAGATTTTGGGTCACACATCTATGATTATGACTAAGAAATGGAGAAAAAACAAATTTTGGTTCAATATTTCTAGATAGAACATCATATAAAGGGCTTCACCACATGCCATCATCTGATACACAATTAAATAAATGGGAAAAGAAAAACTTATCACTTCTCTATTTGTAAATTCTCATCAATCCTCCGTCTCTCTAGTTTGTTCCTATCCAAAATTTAGTTTATTGCCTTTTTTGAACTGATATTGATATGAATTGTAATTAGGTAAAGACCAGTGGTTCATATATGGTTCATGATTCTTGAGTTTATAAGTGCTTTTATTGCAGACTAGGGGACACAATTTTACCTCAGAAGCCTACTTGGCTAGAATTCTCTTCAAAGACTTGTGTCTTCCAGAAAAATTATCATATATATTTTATCATGAAAAGATGTAGAATCCATCTTGTTTTCAATGATAGAAATTCAAATGAATTCAGTATGTTGTATCACTCAACAGATAAAGCTATGATGCAGATACAGACATGAACATGGACACAGATATGGGAAATGGGGATATCCTGGACATTGATATGTATATACCATGTGATATGATTATGTCATGAATTTGTATCTAATTTTTGAAACCAAATGTCATTTTGGAAATTCAATAACATAATTTGTTAAAAACCATTTTACATAATATAGAAGTGTTAATGCTACAAGGTACTCTAAAGTATCCATGCAGTATCTGGCATTGTATCCWACAAGTATTGCATCTGATACCTCTATGCTAGGCATGGATAGGTATTTGGGTATCTTGGGTATAAAGMATGGGAGCCTCCATCYACGTGAAGATGATCACATAGTATGTTGATCATGTTCCTCAAATAAAATATCTAATTTCCTTTTTGGGTATTCTGATGCAGCTCTGGCTCTCATAGAGGCAAACAAAATATACAAGTCAATCGCATACTTGTATGATCCCTCGTTATATTAATATTGTAGATATATACATTACAAACCTTTCTTGTAGGAAATTTGTATGCAATGTACACATTTAAAAGATCACTCCTTTCCGATATTGCAGGAACCTCTAAGGTTTGTGCTAGCTGCTGGAACTGGAACTCTGTTCTTGGTGTCATTAGTTGTCTTGCGGATATATCTGGTACCTCCTTCTCCATGTTAGGTTCAATTACTTCTGAGATTACATGCATGAATTTGTAGAGATGATATTGAAGAATAAATAATGTAGTATCTCACCTACTAAATCTCTAATTACGACAAAGGAAAGGATCTCCGAAAAGAAGAATTTTAAGAGCTAATTTCTAATATAAAGTGAAGATCCATAGATTATTTTGTCCTAGGGAATTGGATTTATGACTTTATGCTTGTCATTTGTTTACATAAACATGCTCAAAAAGAGATGGGTTGCAAAGGTACTATGGCTACAGTCTAGTGACATGCCCTGGTTGAAATATAACCTCTCCATGTTTTTAATTGAGATTCAAATCTATCAGCAACAACTGACAGTGTAGAACCCTGAGATATTATAAATATAATAAACATTGTTTTTTATAGGGAAATTTGTATGGGAGGAGAAAATAAAAAAAGTTCCAACTTCCAACATCAGCCCCCAGAAGCCAGCATTTGAATAGATTCCTAAACCTTCAAAAAATACAGGAATGGCTTGAAAATAGAATCCCCACAACCAAGATAACTCAATTGAGGTGCCCCCGCCTATCACTTTACCAAAAGCCAACGCCAACCTAGCAGTCTTGCTCCACTCAAAGAATTAATTTACCACTCCTAGAGCCCCTACCTATCCCTCTAGGCACAATAGATTTTCCTTGATCTCTTTCACCCTTCTTTGCTTTCATAGTTGAATCTTCCAATTCTTCCACATGAAAACCTGCCTTGTAGCTTCATCAATTTCCTTTTACCTAATTTTGGTTGATCCTTTATCACCTTTTCCCTTTCAAAATCCCTTTGCTTAAGGCTGTTAAAGTATTTATGTTGTTCTGCTATTTCCTCCTGAAAAGAAAACCATAACTTTCTTGCCGAATTCCACCATCTGGCGAACTTAGGATTCACCATTTTTTTTTGAGTTGCTTTATATCCAACATTGCCAACTCAACTGAGCATGTGCCAGAGTTCCCTGCATCCCCTGCATTCTCAGTAGCAAGTCTACCCCCTTTTCAGCCTTTTTTTACTCAAAACACAGTGCAAATTGGACTATCTTGATTGGATAAATTATTTGTACGAAAAAAAAAGCTAAATCATATTTCCATACATTATCTATTGATCAGTTTATTTTATATTAAATAGAACAATAACCCCTAGTTCTCATTATTACTTACAACCACTCACTCAAGTCTTGCATGCAGAGTTGTTTTTCTACACATATTAAATTATTCATACTGTCAATTATTGCAGGGATGGAGTTATGTTGGAGATAGACTCTTATCAGCAGTGATACCTTATGAAGAGAGTGGATGGTATGATGGACAAATGTGGGTCAAGCCACCAGAGGTCAGTGCTATAGAGACTCCATGATGCACTAATGGGAAATAAACTTAGCATTTTGTGGCTTTCAGTATTGACGCATATTACCTTGGTGGGCTTTCTGATGATAAAGCATCCTTTCTCATCCATCATAGGTATTGGCTCGAGACAGGCTGTTGGGTTCTTATAAGGTAAACATTACATGCGTTATTGATCCCTCCCCAACCAAAAAAATGTTGTTCATAGAAGTCTATGTTTAATAGGAAGAAATGTTTCATATTAAGTAATGACAAAAAAGTGAAAATATTCCACAGTAAGCCAAGTGACTCAATGGTTTATGGTTAATTTTTTTTTTTTTTTTATATATGGATTGTTAGGACAAATATGCTTAATGTTAAAATAGGTAGTGTTAGGTAATCACATTTTATTTCATACATGGATAGTATGATAAGTAAATTGGAACTTGTTGGCACAGTTGTATATCTTTTGGGTACAAAACCTCCAGACTGTTGAGCATTGGCACACATCTAGCTTTCTTGGTATCAAGAAATTTCATTTATAATCAAAATATTACTTTAACAAAAAAAATGGAATTTTTTTTATTTCTTGTATCCAGTTTTTCTTACCAATTTTGAACTGTTTTATCTTATATATGTGCTATTTGCATCTGTCTGCCGCCATAATATACCAGAAGCAATCTACCACCTCATTTCAAACTTTCTACTTGTTTCTCTATAGTCTATATCCCTTTCAGGCATCAATTTCACATCTTTCACCATGTCATCTATCACGTGAGAAAAGAAAAAAAAAATCCCTTCTGCTAATGGTAACCAGAAGTACGGGTAATTTGTGTGGACAATATACTTTTGCTTTCACTATCTGGTTAAGCATAACATAGAACAACATACTCAGTCTCTTCATCAAGTGTTTATGCTTGCTTTCCATGTCATTCTATTCATAAAACAGAATTAATGAGCTTTACTTGCAGAAAGTAACTACTGTTTGAGTTCTAGGTGAAACCAGTCGTCAAGTTGCTGAAACAAACACTAGTTGGCACTGGAGTGCTGCTTGTTACAACTGTTTTGCTATTCATCTTTTCTACACCAGTGGAGGATTTCCTTCAGACCACATTTGCAACAAAAGAGAGCCAGTCAAGTATTGCAACTTCAAGGATCAACTCAAAGCCCAATATCAGGTAAAAATTTTTCATTCTTCTAAAGATGATTTGAGATTAAAGAAACCAACTCACCATTTACTTGTTTTATGTCTTCTTTGTGTAAACTGTAGAAAAGAGGAGTTGCTAAGGTTGCCTGTCGAGGTGATGGATGATGATGATCTAGCTGCAGCTGCAGCTGAGGCTGCAGATGGGAGGCCAGTCTACTGCAGGGATAGGTATTATCGTGCATTAGCGGGTGGACAATATTGCAAGTGGGAGGATCTACTTAACTAATGCAAAATATGTATGAATTATTCTTGTTTTAGAATATATTAATAAAATAGATCACATTGAATGCTGTAAAACCAAAGTTCTTAAAATATCAATATCATTACTTTTTCTGCAACCAGTTACAGATTCAGAAACATAAGTTCTATGTGATGAAGAAATTATGACACATGAACAGGGAAGGAAAGGGAAGTAACATTACTCTACCAATGAATACAATCCATGTAATTTAAAATGATTCTATGCATATAACATTTAATGGAAAGAGAAAATAACAAGTAACCATAAAGGCCTTCAGATCATGGCTGTAAGAAATAAAAACATGACATAGATGTTAAAGGATAAACATCTAGCTCAAAGCTCTGCATGGATGTGGTATTGATAGAAAAGAGCTCGTTTCCCTATTTGGTCCTGTATCATCATTCATCCACTCATTTAAAAGGCCATTACCGCCCAATGTTGGTCTCAGCTATCTGGCATCTTGGGTGGGGTGGACTGGATACTTTTAATGTTGGTCCAAACTATGTGGCATCTTAGGAGGAGTGGACTGAATACAGACCTAACCTTTGCCTTTTTTTTTCACAAAGTGGCTCGAGCCCACATTCTCACACTTGTCATCCCAAGATTTTTTCCATTATACCAAACAATGGCCCTTAATATTCTTCCTTTGGATCACATCATGTGGAGTTGAAACATTATAATCCCTCATCTAGCTTTCAAACCTGAGGTGCAGCTGGGAAAGATATTCAGTGATAATCAATTGAATCAGAACCTTCTCACTTGAATGCATAATATTTTGAAGCCAAAAGGTGATACAGTTGAACAGACAAACTTCTCCACGTATATCACAACCTATCTTCATGATCCTTGTTCTGGATGGAGCCCCAAATGACAAACTTCAGGAGTTGGTTTTGACTTTGAGCACTACTTCGGCTTCCAGTTACCTTCATTGTCCAGGATATGTATACAAAGGTTAATGGCTTAAACCCAGTGTAAAGCTTTGATGTACTTCAAGTCTCATACAATCCATATGCTTTAAACAGATTCTTTGCACCAATATAGAATGCCAAACAGTTTTGGCTCAGGAATCTGTTTCCCTCTTAGATACAGAATTAATATTCACTGATATTCCATTAATATTCAAGAAAAACCATGCATCCTAGAACTTCCAATTAGATGAATCGATAAACATCTAAAAGAAGATATACATAGACGGGCAATGATGATATATCCACTTAGGCCAGTTCTCACCAAAGATTTGCATGCATCTGGAGACTAAATTATGTGGAATGCGAAAGAATTATTTCAAGTCTGTAACTTGACTAATGTCTTTTTTTTGTGAGAATGAAAAAAATTTATAGAGGTATGCATATAAAGATGAACATAAAAGGGAAACAATAACACCAGCTTCCAAAAGATTCCGCAACCTATCACCACCCAAAACAGCCATCCAATTGAAACACAATTCCTTTCTTTTAAAAGGGCCAAAATCTGACACTCATCCCACAAATTCAAATTGAAGATTTCTCACTGTCAAAAAAAAAAAACCCTCTGATTTCTCTCTTTCTGAACACCCAAGCATAATAAAAGAGACCATGCACTAGTAGGTAGGTATTTAAATGGGAAAATTCCTCGTGCCACTTTGGTCCCCGGACTTTAAAATGCTGACAATTTAATGATGTGATTCTCTTTCTAGGTTATCAAGTTTTTGAATTACAGTTTCATCAGTTCAAGATTTCTTTTAGTAGGTAGGTATTTAAATTTTTTTTTTCCTTTTAAAGGCTTTGTCAAACTTAAAGATTCATCTCTTCCAGCCTTCTCTGATAAGAATTAATGCATTTCTCTTCAACTTGACGTCAAACACTATTCCACTTATACAGGGTATCAATTAGTCACTTCTTGACAGTTCTAAATTGTTAATGCTAGCATCGAGAGGAAAGTTTCTTAGCAGTCTATCGCATCATAACATACCAACCATATAAAAATGCAGGGTAATATAAATTTTCAGAAAGTACGAAGAAAAAATAAATAAATAAAACGATTCAATACAAAATACTTTACAATTTGCAGACTCGCAATCAAAGCTACAATTGTCAGAAAATAGACTTAGAGAAAGAAAATAAAACATTGAAATGAATTGTACGTTCAAGGATAATGTCCGTGGTGCATAATTGACACTGTCGATGCAATCTATGACTAATTTGAAATCTTCTTCCATCCATAGATTGTTTGCTCTTTGATCATTTTTAAACTGTCGTTGCTCTAATCGCTGCCTACATCTCTTGACCCACAATAAATCGACACGAGATTTCCTTGACAGCAAAAGCCTGCAAATACCCTGTGAACACCACATCCAGTGATTCAGAGCTTTGACCAATCAATGGTAAGATTTCCGCCTGGGCTGATCGATGGGTCAATTGAAATTAATCTGGGTAAGGCTCAGTTTGGAAGTAGTATAATTACAAATATGCAGAGTACACAACCTTATATGTTTTGTATTATTTTGAATATATTTGCACTGTATATGTTTGTATTTATACTCCTTCCAAACTGAGCTTAAAGGACTTAAACCTCTCCCAAAGTTTTTTATAAATACTAAAACTTCCCCTAAGACTAAAACCTTGCAAGGCAGGGAGCCACGAGGTTATATCTAACAGAATCAATAAAAAGATTTATTTGCCTTTTAAATATTTTTTAAATTTTCAAAACACGTTAAATTAACACGGATGAGACAATTGGTTGTGTTGGTGTCCCTCAACAGGTTAGTTTATAAGCCTCTAGATAAACATTTCATTATTAGCTCAATTATATAATTGAATTAATTTTGATAGACAACTATCATCAACGATTTTGTATCTCTGGTCATCATTGATTTCTCCGTTTTTAGTTTTGAAGATTATTCTTATCAATGGCCGATTTGTTGGTCATAACAAATTAGACCGATTTTTTTTTTTTTTGATAAGGTGAGTCTTTTCTTTTATCCATCTATTGTTCAGTTGTATGTAGCTTAGGATGTTCATTGTTTTTTTCTGTTGGTTCATACTTTTTCTAACCTATTTGTGGTTTTGAGCAGTCTTTGATGCTGAAGATTGAAGAACCTATCCAAACTCAAACAGACAAAAGCAGATTGGAACCTACATTATCCACTCCGCTATACAAAGCTGCTAGACCCTGGCGACCGATATCTTTTCAATCTTACCTTTTCTCTCAGTGAGGGAAGATTTTTGTCAAGACATAACAAACTAAGCAAGAAGGTAATAAAGGGCAAAACTGGGATTCTCAGAAAGCTTAAACCACACAAAATGCCACATGCTAATAGATATGGATGCAAAGTTAACAGATGGGAAGTTTTTTTCTGCTGATGTCACTTCCATTTTAAAAAATCAGGGGATGTTTCAGTATTCAGGTGAAATCTCAGGGGAGGGGAGGTTTACGTCTTTTAGCCAATTAATTTTGATGTCATTGCCTGTTAACATAAACCATTAATTTCTTCTTTTATATGCAAACTCATATATATGATAATGCAGATAAAGTGTATCAAATTCTGATTTATTTCTGCTTTAAATTTCACTTTTTTGTTTGTTTGTTTATTGTGTAAATGAAGTAAAATAAAGTCTGAAACAAAGTAAAATAAAACTCAAAGCAAAAATGAATCAGAATTTACACCCGTCTGATTTGTACTCCCTTGCATTTGCGTTAGTGCAAATGAACTTACGTTAAGGGAATTTGCTTTCGTTAGTATTTGGTTATTTCAAATAAATACAACAGTACTATCTATCTATGATTATAATAATTGGTTCTCCTATGTACAATTTTACCCTCAAAATAAATAGCACATTAAAAAGTCTACTATTTATATTTCTTCGGATATTGTTGAAACTCCACCTTTTTTTAATTCACCTTATAAAGTGGAACAATGGAAAACTACTATTTATTAACCTAATAATTTCCGAAAATACAAAAGAAAGATGGAGGTATTGTGGGCCTGGGCCTCGACTCGTGGTGTCTCCAAAAAGAGTTGATAATGAAAGTTTGAATCACAAATTGACAATAGTCGATGCAATTCCATTTATCCCTTTCCTGGGCAGATCCCTCTTTCATTAATTCCACATGCTTTGCATGTGGCATTAACAGTGTACATACAAGAAAAGAGTTTGCTTTATTCAATCGAGGTATTGCGGTAATATTGAAGTTGTTTCTTTCCACAAATTCATCCTGATAACGATGAGCGATATTAATGCTCTTTAAAACCACTCTGCAATTTTTTTAACCCTTGTTTAGCTGGTCAATGGTAAATTAGTCTGTCCCAACTACCAAGATGTATATTGTGTGATCAAATGGCTAAAAATTTTCAATTGAGTCTATCTCTAGTTCTAGGTTAACCCTCTTGGGTTGGCAGTGATCAGGATCTCTCCAGGACCCAAGTTATTATATTTCTGCATGTTAGAATCGTAATCCAGGCTGGACCTAAGATGTGTTAGGCATCAAAGAACTGACCCAAATGGTTTGAACTTTGAAGTTTGAACTATGAGCTTTGAAGGAGACATTAAAGTTTGTAGTTCACAGGTCACAGCCTCACAACGTCATCGATATTTCATGGCAGATTCAGACCGACACGCTCCCAAATTAGATACTTATACCCCGTTCATTATTTGGTAAATTTTTTATTCCCGCAAATGTATTTTATTCATGTTTTTTTAGATAAATAAAATAATGATTATTTTAGTCAGAAAAATCAATTATTAAAAAGAACATTTTTATTTTATCAGTGTTTAGCAATTTTTTCCAAGTGAAAAAATTATTTATTATAAATGATAAGTCTTACTTTTATGGTGGGTCTCTAGTTTTAAGTTACCATATGCCGTGTGAGATGATGTTGATAAAGGGTTGGAAATTTGGTTGGCAGAAGATCCCAAATCTATTTATTCACCAGGAAGATGGATGGATACTTAAAAAAATAAATTTTTTATAATTCTCACAAAAAAGAAAATGAATTTTTTGATTAACCAACTTTCCCCTCTCAAACGCCCCATGTTAGAGTGAAAAACAGATAGGAAAGAGCTACTCAATTTAACTTATCATTTTCCTTTTCAAATCTTTACAAATACTACTATTTTGTCT